GAATTTCGATGTGAAGCAAAAAAAAACCGGCTGAGAACGGCTAAACTGTTTCAACTAAATTTCACATGTTTTATTTAAATAAATCATAAGTAGAAAGACTAGTAGTTCTTGGAGAGAAGTTGCAAATTCAAGCTGGAAAAAAATTTTTCCAGCAAGAATTCGCAATTTTGAAAAACATATGATTGTGGCATTTTTTGTCGACGATAATTTGAAAAAACAGGTTCGTCAAATTTAAAAATTTACAAACATGAGCAATTTTAAAATGAAAAATTTAAGTAAATACTTGTTTACTTAATTAATTTACTTAATTCCAATGATTTGAAACGTACTAGGAATGCAATCTCAACCAGAGCCGATATAAGAAACACGACAGTTAATACGGCAAAGAAATTTAAACGTATGTTAAGGAACCGTTAGATACCGTCTTTTGCCCCTCTGAAAGAATTTTAAAATTCTATACAAATTTCTTATGTTTCAAATGCAACCGTGGGCACTAGCTGGCAGAAGTTCCTGCAAATTTGCGTTCATGCAGAAATTGGTAAGTTTCTCTACTTGAGAGAGAATTTGGGAGCATTTTTCTTACTAACTGATATTTTGAGTGACAATTTTCGCTGGATTTTCTATTGTCTTCCCAGAGAGTTTGGCTTTACATAGAAATTTGTGCTCTTTTACTTTTGTTTTGACGCATTTCAGTGTTGGCTATTTGAATTCAAGTTGAGCTTCGGTTTTTAGAATTTAAATAAGTTCTCAGCAAAAAAAAAAATTAGCTTAAATAAATAAACCCATATGTGTACATAGTGCTTAAAAATATCAATTTTTCCCTTACCTTAAAACTTTAAGCGTGGGCAACAATGATGTTTTGTTATTAAGGCAGAATTGAATATGCGGTATCTGGGAAGACAATACCTGTAACATTTATTCTTGGCACACGCCTGTTATGCAAACAGTGAAACAATTTGTTATTTTCTAAGATTGCGAATAAAAGTTCACACTTAAATTTAAGTCATTGATAACAAACATATCCAATAACTTGCCAGTAACCAAATTTCGGCGAGTAAGTAAGTAAGTGTAAGTAAAATTAGTACTGGATTTTACTGGATAGTATTGGTGTTTCCTGCGTTACAGACGTTCCGTTTGGAGATAGTTTTCTCATCATAAAAACTATAGTATGCTCTGAATGAACACAAGTTTTTTGTCATGAGTAGTCATCATCAACATCTATCTGAAACCAATAAAAATATTTTCCACAAATGTTATATGGTGATTGTATAGCGATTAAAAGAGCCCGTTCGGACGTTCCCAAAACGAAACTCGTATCAAAGATGAATGATTATTTTTGCAAAATTTCCCGAATCTGTTAACGGTACAAAAAATTAGCGGTACTCACTTTCCGTATCATTTTAGGTGTAAAGTTGCTACGAAGCAATCTAGCGCGCATTTTTTTGTTGGAAGAGCAGCAAAACATGTGGTAGATTGCTACGTAGCAACTTTACAGGGGATACGAAATTCAAACATCACGAAATAAATACAACTTCTTGTCGTGCTGTCGACAGCGGCTTTGAAATCGACAAATATAAGTTTTGGCGAATACGAGATCTATGGTGGATTTGGCAGATCTGAAGCCACACTGGTAAGGTCCATGGAGAGAAGGTAGCGCGGAGGCCTGCAGGTTTTTAAAGCACTTAAACTTGAAATAGGCAACACACGAGCTTAAAAAAAAGGCAAAATAAAGGCATATATTTTTTTAATTTCGTTATGTACTTCCTTTATGTACATTGTGAAGGTCCAATTAAAGATATAAAAAAATACATACAGTGGTCAAAAAATTATAACCAAATCACTTTTTGCCAAGTTTTAACGTATTATATTTGTTGTTATTGAACTTTTGATATATTTTTAAATAAAAATATAGTTCGTTCTTTAACAAAACCCGTGGAAATTCATGTTTCCAAATTTGAGCAGTGCACTTGCAAAGGCGCTATGTAAATTTTTTTAGATTTTGAGTTTTTGGTGAGTAACGTACCAGTATTTAACAATACAGTGCAAAATATTTCTATTTTCTGAAAAAATTGCATCAAATGTTAATTACTATTGCAAAAGTCGCTATAATACTTATTTATACACTTGCAAAAGTTTCCATCTTCTGATGAACTTAGAAAACTGCAAGAAAACGTGGTAGTTTCGGTGCCTAGTGGAAGGCGTCGTAAAAAAGAAGCAGACCAATCTTCATGGAAGAGCGAACGCGAAAAGCAAAAAAAAGATAGCTATGTAAAATTTACTGTTTCAAAACTCGCTATATTCAATTTTTATATATAAAATTTGCAAAAACCACATTGCCATCTTGTTTTTTAATGTTATTAGGCTCTTGTTTATCCAAATTTTCAGATAATAAAGAAAAATATACAAAAATACTTGTTGTTGTAGACGTTTTTTTTTTTATGGATCACTATTATAAAATCACATAACGCTGTTTGCAAGTGGACTACTCATTTGTGCAATATTAAAAAAAAATTCAACAAACTTTCATACAAATTTCGAACTTTTAAAAATTTTAAAAAATCAATCGACATTTTTAGCCATTTGAAACGTGTACTTTATTCTACTAGAATTCAATCGGCTACAAAACTGCATACTCAGAATTTAATTAAAAAACTCGAAATTTTAGCGAAAATTTGTAGATTTTTTTTTTTTTAATTGCATAAATTTTTAAGGCAGTGTCACTCGATTGGTACATTTCTACAGATTTGTAAATTTTTATATTGGGCTATTGGTAAAAAAGTGGGACATTTTTTTTGCATTCAAAAGATTGGTACAATACAGCGATGTTCTATTGATAAATTTCAATAAATTAATTTTCGTGATTGGGATAGTGAAAAATATTTTGGGTGTTCAAACAATTGGGATACGATTTACACCAAATTTTAGCAAATACCCAATCGTGCCTTTAAACTTGTATTTATACGGATGTTGGTAAAGAACGAACTATAAAAAACTAACCGAAATTAAATAACAACAAAAATAATATTTTAAAACTTGTCAAAATTTGGTGCGGCTATAATTTTTTCGACTACTGTACATAAGTTGGCTATGATTACTCGGCCGCGCTATCATAGTAGCACAATGCCACTCATATTTGACTTACAAACAAACTACGGGCAGGAATTTCAACGAAAGGAGTCCGATGGGAGGCAAACCCTTCAGGTAAACTCGATACAGATCCTTTATTACACCTCAAGTTTTTAAAGGATACACAAAAACGCCGAAATACGTGAACTAAACTTTGGATCGTAGATTACGGACCTGTATACCGTTTTTTCCAGTTCAGGTCATTTTCACAGGACATTCTAATTTTTATGAAAAGAAAAAATTTAAAACTTTAAAAAGGAGACAATTAAAATAATAATAAACAGGGAACGGATGATTAGGACCTAAAAACCTATAAAAAAAAGGCAAAACAAAATAACAAAATATGTTGGAAAAGGCAAAATGAAAAAGCGAAAAAGGCAGGAAAAGCAAATAGAAGTCGCAAAAAGGCACTAAAAAGAGACAAAAACAGAAAAATAATCAAAAAATACATTTATTTTAGAAATTTTTATATTACAAGTAAAAAGAGAAAAACTACATATGAACTAGTTTCATTGTGTGAAAAATTTGTACTTTGAACCTTTGACGGGTTTCTCCTTTCGAGCGTTTAACTCACAAAACTTTAATCTCAATAGTTGTAGTAACATTGACCCAGAAGATGTATTTTAAAGTTGTCTGGCACCTTTTTCATTCGGTTTTCGCGAAGAAAAGCCTTGAATGTACTAAGCGTGCGCTCGACCTGTGTTGATAACGGGTGATTTTTTTGAGGTTAGGATTTTCATGCATTAGTATT